TCCTCGGTTGCCGCGTCATCCTTATCGGCGAAGGCTGCGCGCGACAACAAAGCATCGTCCTCTTTTGTAATTTCACTGTCGTCAATAATTCTCTTCAGTTCTTCCATCACACTCCTGTGGACATAGGCCTGAAAATCAATTACAATAAAATCTTATAATGATTATCTGTCTTCCCACAGTTCAACAAGATCTAATAAAAGTAAGTTACAAATCCTAAATATCCAAACATAGGAGTGAAAAACTGAATTGGATTCCAAAGCTACTGAACAAAAATTCATCTTTCTCACAAATATTACTTTTTTCCTATTCTCTTGCCCTTTAACACATACTTTTTCCCCTTCTCACCACTAGCTGCTTTAAGGCCCCATATTCTGCCCTGGTAGCAGGGGCACCTGGGTAGCTTACAGTTAATGGAGCAACACAGGGCTACAGAGTGAGGACGCAACACAAACACACATGAGTTGGCACTCTAAGCCCAGCCTACGCTTCCAAGACTTTCACTTAAAAATCAAGCTTCATAAAACAAATTAAATGATATGGGGTTATAAATATTTGGGTTGATTCTTTTGTTAAAAGAATGAATCAGCAAGGTGGCTCAGTGTGTACAGGCAGTCAAGATTAAAGACCTAAGTTTAACCCCTAGAATCCACATAGGAGGAGAAAAACGGTTCCTACCTATTTTTGACTTACACACACAAACATTGTTACATGTACACCCCCACACATGCCCACACACACTCACACATTAAAAAAAAAAACACCTTTCTAAGAATGTTAAAATAGAATATATCTTGCATGGACTATGTTGCATGCTTTTTGATTACTTCCCCCTGATGGGACTTCCCTACCAGGCCACAGGGGAAAAGGGTAGGACTGGGAGGATAGGAGACAGGGGACTATGTCCGCAATATAAATTAAATTTACTAATTTTTAAAAACTACCAAAAATGCTAAAATATGTAATTAAAAAAGAAAGCTTTCAATCTATAAATTGGTTTCTTCATTTAAAGAGAGCCTTGTAATAACTTTTGTCAAGTCAGCACAAGCAAGATAAATGAACAAAAGTTTAAAAATTAGACATCTGAAAAAAACTTAGCCAGAGGCAGATAGATTTCTGTGAGTTCAAGGTCAGCCTGGTCTACACTTGAGAGTTCCAGGACAGCAGGGCAACAAAGTAAGACCCTGTCTCACAAAGAAGGGGGGGCATGCTGTGGTGATGCACACCTTTAATGCCAGCGCTCAGGAGGCAGATGCAGGTGGACCTCTGAGGTCTGAGCTCAAGGCCAGCCTGGTCAGTTGAGTTCCAGGACAGCTAAGGCTCCACACAGAAACTCTGTCTCAAAAAAACACAAACAAACAAAAACAAAACAAAGTAGAAGAAAAGAAAAAAAAAGAACTTACCTCTTTTCTGATCATCACATCATTTTTATAATTGCTGTTATTGGCATATCTAAGTTTTCCTGGGGAAAGGAAAAAAAACATCATGAGCAATTTTAAGGGTAAAGACAATTTCATATTTCATTTGTATTAGTACATCCACTTTCATCATGTAAGATCAAGGTTAAACACAATAAATATAACAGTGAACTAGCAAATTCTAACATCCTCCATACCTTCCACACAATGGGTCAGGTTTGTTAAGGCCTGTTTTCTTCTTTTCTTTCCTAGATCTCATTGTGTGGCAAGGTTGGCAGCCTTGTACAGAGATCTATCCATCTGCCGGGGTCGCCTAAATTCCGGGATTAAAGCTGTGTATAACAAACAGGTTTATTTTCTTAATCTAGCCCCTGAACGACAAGTGATTGTGACAAAGCACAGAGAGTATTCTCTTCAAGTGTGATGGCTTGGTGCTTGCTAAGTGCTGTACTCACAACATTTTTCATCTGAACTCGGAAGGAATTCTAACAGCAGGTTTCACTTTCTCACCTATTCACAGGAGATAAAATCACATTAAACAACTCGCTCAGGGTCACACTGTCTCTTTTGTATCAACACTTTCTCTATTATTCCAAAATGTTCCCCTAATTGTTTTCCTTCAAATTAGTGTATATGGTTAAGATAATGGATAAAATTTTTAATTATAACTAGGAAGCACACAAACTATGTGAACTGCCAGTTTGTTGGCTGATTTATTTCAATCCATCCTGCCTGACCTTTGAAGGTCAGTGTGTGTGTGCTTCCCTGGATGGCTAGTCATTCAGGTGCCCAGACAAAGCTGCGATGTCTTTCTCATCTGCTCAAATGAAGGGTTTCCCTACAGCGGTGTACCCCCAGGTACAGTAGATGTTGTGAGTCATTATTTCCCATATAAGTGGAATGATGCAGTGGCAGAGATCCATTAGAACCAATCCATGCATGAAATTTCTCTGATAGTGCTGGAGTTCTTAATTTATGTTACTCAGGATGATAAGGTATTCACAGGCAAGGGGACTAAAAACAGAATTAGAAAACAACAACAACAACAACAACAAACAAACCAAATTGAATAGGGAGGGAGGGAGGGGAAGGAAGGAAGGAGGGAGGGAGGGAGGGAGGGAGGAAGGAAGGAAGGAAGGAAGGAAGGAAGGAAGGAAGGAAGGAAGGAAGGAAGGAAGGAAGGAAGGAAAGCAGAGCTGGATGTGGTGGCACACTTTAATTCCAGCACTTGGCAGACAGAGGCTGGTGGATCTCTGTGAGTTCAAGGCTAGCATAGTCTACAAAGCAAGCTCCAGGACAGCCAGGGCTACACACAGGGAAACCCTGTCTCAAACAAAACAAAAAACCTAAAACCAACATCACAACAAAATTTGGAAAGCAAGGGTAAAGTTGCTGTGTTTCTAAAAAACTGCAAGTCCAATGGCTGATACCTGGACTTCTTCCTAAATGCCTGAAACTTTTTGAATACATGATCATCTTTTACTTTCCCTTTTCAAAGAACCATGTCCAAAGCATTCATATAGCCCAAATAGCGCTTAATTAAAATCCATACAGTTAAATGGTTAAATGTCTGTCTCCCAAATTCCACCTTCATCTTTGACACTTCCGTACTGCCCAGTACATAATGTACATTCAAAAATAAAAGATCACTGGTGCAGGTAAGCAGAGCTGTCCAGTGACAGAATTGCCTTACACCACACAGGAAGGGGCTTCAACAAACTGATGCTCATTCTGCTCTCCTCTGGTTTTTCTCTCCCCCAGAAGAAAAGAAAGATTCTCTTTTTGATCTTATTCAAGTGTCTTATCTTCTAAGGGAAGCTTCTTTTTGTTTTTGACGGGGTTTTTTTTTTTTGGGGGGGGGTCGTTTAGTCTTTGCTTGGTCTTTTTATTTGTTTTGTTTCATTTGGAAGGGGATTCAAGACAGGGTTTCTCAGTGTTATAGCTCTGGCTGTCCTGGAATTCATTCATGGAGATCCACCTGCTTTTGCCTTCCAAGTGCTCAGATTAAAGATTTAGGGGAAGCTTTTTCTTTTTTTTTTTTTCTTTTTTTGTTTTGTTTTGTTTTTGTTGTTGTTTTTTTTTTTTTTTCCCTTTTCTTCTCAAGGTCTGATCATTTGTTACTCTTAAACACTCATTCCATACTGGATTCAAGACTTAAAATTAAAAACTCTCTTTGAGGACAGCCTATGTCTCTTGGAAATTTGTTCCTGATATTTTTCTTTGGCTTCCTTCATTCTCTAGGCCAAAAGTTTAGCTTATTCTGCAGCCTCCTCATTTTTCTTTGTATGTTGTTTCTTCGGAGCAATACATCAGCTTTAGAAAGGTAGTAATAAGATGCTGAACCTTGGGTGCTTTCTCCCTGGATTTCTTACCTTCTTTGTTTAAGCACTCTGATTACATAGTGGCAGACATCAGCTTCTTTAGAGATATTGAAATGATTTAGGATTGTGCTCTTTTGGGCCCCAAGCCCAGAGGAACAAGGGCACAGTATCTGTCTTGTTTTTTTTTTTTTTTTTTTTTACAATATAACCAATTTGAAACCACTAGATTGGCATCCCTAATATATCTAGAACAGACCTGCAGTCCTCTTCCCAGCTCTCTTTGGTCTACAGCAAGTGTGCCCCTTACTCAACAGCAGGTGCCCTCTGCAGTGCCAAGAATGTTTCATGGCAAAACCTTGTTGTCGTTCCCATCAATGACCGGGACCAAACAACCCTTCCACTCTTCAGCGGCTATTTTTGTGGCGAATCGTTTCTCGTAGAAAGTACGAAGTTTATGTTCATGACCCACTTTAAAAAGTTCTGGCAGCTGGTGGCTGTGTAAGATATATTCAGCTTTATCTAAACAAGGCTGACCGCCAAGGAGGCGCCAGAAAAAGGGCCTCTAGTATCCCTTACCTCTGGCCATCATCCATTCATGTTTCTTGATAAAGATGGTGAAGAATTGTATTTCGATACCTAACTCATATCACACTCCTGCGTTCGGACACAGGGTTCCTCCCCTACAAAGTAGCCTTCACGCATACAGTGAATGAATGAGTAGACAGAAAAAGGTCACCCAAAGACTTCAAGCATCCGCTGGGGTATCCCTTGATAATTCTGTTAACACCCCCGAAGCACAGGCTCTCCGATCTAGGCTTCTGACTACTGTAACGTTCAACTTTACTGACAGTGGCAGGATCCGCCTTTCAGAATTACTTTGCAGCATTTTTCCCCTCACAAACACATCCCCAAACCTGCTACGCGCGCTCTTCAGGATGGGGCGTGGTGAGACGCCCGTCCTCACCGCATCCCGGTGGGTGAAGCAGGAGGATCGACAGTTGGTGGTCAGCCTGGGCCAGACCCGGTCCCAAAACCAAACAAGTTAATTGAAATAAAGAGGAAAATGAGAAAAACACAGAAACCCACACCCTGGGCGGCTCGTCCTCCCTCGCGGCCCCGCCGCCGCTCACCGTCCGGCCGAAACTCGAACTCCAGAAACTCGTGCCCAAACTTGCCCTTATGCCCGACGTAGTAGCGCAGGTAGAAATCACTAGCCATAGGCATTCTAATGCTGTGTAAACCCCGCGGCACCTCCGGGCCAACGTGCTGCCGGCGCGGAACAGTGACGTCACGGGCGCGGGGAAAGCGCGTCACCGAGGGCGCCCGTTCTCCGGAACAAAACACTGCAGGTCCAGCCAGAGACCCTGAGAAGAACTGGAGATTCTCCCTGGAGCCGCTTAACTAAACTCTCAAGCACTTTGTTTGCTTTCTCTTCTGAAAGGATTTTGTTTATGTGCTTTGCTTTTTATTTTATAACTCTGACGGTGTCATACACGTACATGGTGATTTTTAGTGACTCCCACCTGGTTGCCCTCTCTCATCCCTCCTCCTCAACCATTCTTCCCTACCACCCTTACCTCCTGTCCTTTAACGTCTTGTGTGTGTCTGGGTTGAGGGGGGACTCCACGCGTTTAATAAGGGTCGCTGGCATGATCGCGATGGCGGGATTTCATTATGGCACTACATACTGTTTTGGCTGAGCCTCCTACACCATCCACCTCTCCCCCACCTAACGCCTCCAACCCTTCTGCCCACAGTATTCCCGCTGCACTTTCCTGTCAAATGTATCCTGTTACCCTCCCCCCTGCATTTCTTTAACTAACCCCCAGTCCTCTTTCTGGTTTAATAACCGACACCAGCACATAAATACAGACACACAAGCTAAGATCCACATACAAGAGTGTGTGAGTTATTTGTGTTAATACTTCACTATAATAATTTCCAGATTCGTTCGTTCTCCTGCAGATTTCATCTTATCTTAGCAAAGAACAAACAGCCAGCTGTTTGTTTTCTTGATGTTGTTTAAATGGGCTCAGAAGGAAAGTTTGTAAACCACTTTTACCTTCTGGTTGCCCTGTGGTATGGGTGTGGCTTTTTCTGGGTTTTGAACGAAGGTTTACAAGCCGTACTTATTGTGGTATCTCTGATCTCGAAGCACATTGTAAAGTGGGGTGTGGCTCTACTTCCTGTAACTGGTGAACTGTAGTCACCTTACAGTCCCTACCGGAATACAATCTCCCTGAGTCCTGACATAGGTCTTTGGTTAATGCTTCATGAAAATATAGCTCATGAAAATATCCAGAGAGCCTTTGGGAAAGAGATTTTTCATAGTACATCTTGTGTGTCAGTAAGGATTAATAGTAGCCTATGTATTTGTGTATTGGGGCTAGGCCACAGTTCTCAACCCTTTAAATTGTAGAAGTAAGGAACACTCCAGTGTAGAAAGGTCCTGAACACAAAATGACAGTGCAATTGCACGAAGTCCACGTTTCAAGTCCTGATCACCACTCTGTTACCAACACCGAGTAATCCCATCTGGTGACTGGTAATCAGTAATAATCCCAAGAAAAGTCGTTAAATCTCAACACTGTCCCCACCCAACATTGGACAAGTCATTATCTCTCAACCTGTTTAATCATCAACTAACTAAATACAGTGATCAACTTTGCCAAACACAGAACAGAGAAAATTAAATAACGTATATATGTGCTTTGAAATCTATGCAACATGAGTTTTAACAAGGAGTTCCTATGTGCCAGAACAGATGGGCATTAGCAATAAAGCAATACAGCCAGTTACACCTTCAGAATAAAGAGAAAGCAAACATGTAAGACAAGCGTCAGCACAAGGAAGCAATTGGTATAGTAAACAATATATGAAATAAAGCATCTCTGTATGAAAAGGGCAAGTGATTTTATTGTAGATGGAGTTAGCAAGGGGAGCACTGAGGAAGATTTATAAAAGCTTTTTGATTAGTAAATTCTGTGAATGCCCAGCAGTATAGACAAGCATTTCAGGCAAAAGGATGACCTAAATAAAGTCATGGATGGTGTGAATATGTATATTTGGAGAAAACCAATAAACACAACTTCTACACTTGAAATCAATAAGTAGCTAAAATGTAGGGTTCAAGAAACTGGAGTAACTGTCAAGGCAAGTTTGGGCAGGTTCTTGTTGGTCATCTGAATAGTTATGTAATTGTTATAAAATTTACTCCTGTGGTTGGGTGGTAGGTTGCTATTTAGAAAAATACATTAGCAACATAAATCACTGCGCCTTTTGTTCCCCCACTCTTCCATAAGACACCCTGTGCTCTGCCCACAGTTTGGTTGTGAGTCTCGGTATCTGCTTCAATCCCCTGGTCAGTGGAGTATTTCAAGGGACATTTATGGCAGGCTCCAGTCCTTTTCCCTCTCTTCAGCTGCTTCTGGTGTCTATTCTACTTACACTTCTGAATGACAATTAAGCATCCTCCCTAGGATGCGCCTTGTTACTTAGCTTCTTTAGGTCTGTGGATTGTAGTGTGGTTTCACTGTAGCATATGGCTAATACCCACTTATAAGTGAGTATATACCATGTGTGTCTTTCTGTTTCTGGGATACCTCACTCGGGATGATCTTTTCCAGGTCCATCCATTTGCCTGCAAATTTCATGATGCCCTTGTTTTTAACAGCTGAATAGTATCCCCCTGGGTAGATGTACCAGTTTCTTTATCCATTCTTCAGTTAAGAGACATCTGAATTGTTTCCAGTTTCTGGCTATTATGAATAAAGCTGCTGTGAATGTAGTTGAGCAAATGAGGAACAGGAGCCCCACAAGAAGACCAACAGAGCCAACAAATCTGAGCCCAGAAAGGCCTGCAGAGACTGATGCATGATCAAGAACCACGCATTAAAAAGACTAGACCCCTGCTCAGATGTAGCCAATAGGCAGCTCAGTCTCCACATGGTTTCCCTAGTAAGGGAAGCAGGGGCTGTCTCCGATATGAACACTGCAACGGAAAGTGAGACTTGGTTTAATGTGCAGTATTTGTTGATAATCTTTCCACTCGTGTTTTTTCAATTGTGTTGGTGATGAATCAAGTTCATTTTGGTGTGTGTGTGCACGTGCGTGTGTGTGGTTTGGGGAGAGGGGTTTGAAGCATGGTCTCATGTAGCCTACCTGGCCTTAAATTCACCTGTGTAACCTATTCTGGCCTTAAATTCCTAACCTCCTTGCATTCACATCGAAAGTGGTGCTATTACAAGTGTGCACCACCACAACTGTCATTTTCCTTGCAGTTGTTAATGTTTTAAATGATCATCAGGGCTTTTTTGTGCTTACATAATTCTTTTGAGCTCTTTTTATGTCTCTTCTACCTATCTACATCTTTTTCCCTATCTAAAGTGACCCAGTAATTCCCTTTTCCAATTTTCTGAAAGACTCTCTAACCTTTTTTAATATTTTTAACCAATATTCAAATAAGGAAATGCTTCACAAAACTTGCTCCAGTTAACAGCTGGGAGGCAACAATAGGATCCCTTCCTTCTTCCTTCTCTCACCAGCCCATGTAAATCCTGCCTACCCACTGTGGCACCCCACAGCATCAGGAAACATCCCTCATGTAACTGACTCGTCATGCCTACATCAAGATTTCAGTTGATGCAATTGTGTCAGTTTTCAGCTGCTGGTCATCTACTCTACTATATCGCTCCTCGTCCTTCCCAAGGTACCAGGATGTTCTTGTAAAGTCACGGGATCATTTCGGGAAAGAGAATTGCCCTCACTGTGATATTTACAGTGTTTTGAAATTGTAAGAGACTATCCGCAGCAGTGAAAACATCACACAAACATGATAGGTCAAGACCAATGTAAAGAACTTCCCTGTGGGTATGGGTCCTGGGTTCAGGTCTCAGTGCTGGAAAATAAACAAAATATGGTGTCAGCTTAATCGTGGTTCTCGTACCATTATATAATCTTTAGACATTTTATGCTCTGTACTATTATTACAGGACAGGAGTCTCTTCTTGGCCACAGTAGATATTATGCTTTTAGGAAGAAAAAATAAGAAATGTTCAGAGTTAGAAAAGGGGAAAAAGAAACATTTATTGAGAACATATTATGTGCAACATATTATACAAATATGTATTTTCATTCACCCTCACACCAACTCTGTAAGGCAATCTTCTCATTGTGCACACAAAGAATCTTTTTTTAGACAATGTAGGCTCTTTAACTTTCCTATTAAAACTAAGTTCCATTTACTTTCTTTTGTCCTCCCTAGTGTAGAGATTTGGGCAGCTATACCCCATGAAAGTCTACCTCGAGTCAAGGAATACTAATTTAATGGATGTTTCTCAGTGTCTCGATGGATGGTTGGAAAGCAGAAGCTGACACCCATCCCTATCAGATTACTTCTCTGTACCGCTGAATGACCATCTTGGGTTTTTAAGTCTTCTTGCTTGGTTTCCATACTTTCTATTTGTTATCCATACATGTATACACACATACACACACACACACACACACACACACACATACACACACACATAGATACACAGACACACACTTCATCACTGGTTCTAACTTTGGTTCTTTGGGTTTATTCTCCTTAGTCTTACAGGAACTAGCAAGCAAATGTAATGAACAATGTTCTTAATCATGAAATGACTCCTGCTTCTAATTAAACTTAGTACAAACAGGGTCCACCTATCTCAGAGTTCAATAAAAGGAGATTCTTGTATCTACATTCAATGAAAAACTCAGAATTATTTCTCGTAATTATGCTCCAGCTCTTCAAGAAGGGACTAGTACTGAATAACATCTATGTTTCCTCAATATTAAGTTCCTCACTAGAAGGAACAAGACTTCTCCTTGAAGGAGATCTTGATCCACCTTACATTGCTCAGCAAAAATAATCTTGAAATATTCTTTCTCATGAATCCCCATGTTTGGTTTCTATCCCTTCATTCCCTTCTGATTTATTTGAACCGTTTAATATTTTAGATTTAAAAGGAATGTTTCAGTAGTAAACCAACCTTGGGTGGGTGGGACCAGCCCTTTTGCCCTATCCCTCAAGTAATTATTGCAGATTTCAAAAACCTCCTTTGGGCTATTCAAGATCTCTGGCAGGGAAGGAAGCCTTTTTAAGAAAATGGTTTAAACAGTTTGAAATGTTGTGTCTCACTTCATTTTGGTGACAGCTGATATCTGGCTGTCCTTTTTATACTGGAAAGTGAGAACTTTCCCTACTGTGTTTGATAAACATTATCAAGGTTCAATTGCCAAGAATGTGTTGTCTAAAATGCCTGTTTAGGTTTCAAGGATGGAACACCACCCTTTACTTGGTTTTAAGTATGTATAGAATGTTATGATAGGACATATTCACAATGGTGGTCAGATGTGGAAATGGGGGGAGACAAAAATATACATGTGAAAACCCCAGGATTTTAATAAAAATAAATAAAATATTAAAAACCTCCATTGGAATGAGACTGCCCACCACTTATACTCAGGCCCTGGACTGGAAAGCAAACAGATTTCTGATGATTCTTTGCTTGAGAGTACATGTGTATAGAGGTAGAGCCTCATTCAGCAGCATTTCATATTTACAGGAAAATGTAGTATCGGGAAAGGTGCGGGATCCATGTCCTTTTCCTCCCTGTGTGGCTCATAGTATGTTCCTTCGCTGTGTTCTTGAAGGAACTCATTCCCGCCCATGTAGTCACTTGTCTGGGGCATCGTCAAAGGACACTATAGCTGTAGGAAAGGCTCTCCTCACTGACGCCAGCCACATCTGCATACAGTTCAGGCACCACTAACTCTGGCACTTGCAGCACAGCCTTGTCATTCGCAGATCTAGAGGCGGCTTCTAGGCGCATGCGTAGCTCTCCAAGTAAGGGACGGCTGTCCTCACTCCAGCACCAACAGCTCTTCATGATGTTGTACCTGAGGGGACAGCAGAGATGGATGAAAAGAACACAGCTCCTCTTCAACAATATAAAAGCCCACAGTTCTCTGATCTTTCTGCCCTGTCTCCCATTGTATTTCCATATAGTACTCTACCGTTCTCTTTATATCAAGTCCCTCAACATTCTATTAGTGTGTTTTCTTTTTACAGTAGAATGTTGCAGATTTTTTTCGGACTACAAAGTGACAGAAGAGCTCTGCCTTTTCCCATGCAATACAATTGACTAATAGGGCTAGGAGTGAATTCTCTGTTCCATTCTATGGCATGAGGGGTAGAGGTTTTTGGTTTTTGTTTTGTTTAAGTTTATTTATTTTAAGTATATGAGAGCTCCATCTGCATGTACACCTGCATGCCAGAAGAGGGCATCAGATTCCCAGTATACACAGTTGGAAGCCAATGTGTGGTTGCTAAGAATTGAACTCAGGACCTCCGGAAGAGCAGACAGTGTTCTTAAACACTGAGCCATCTCTCCAGTCCCTAGGGGTAGAGCTTTTAATCAATCTCAAGTTTGAACTATCTTCTCAGATGACAGTTAGGTTTTTTAAGGTCAGGCACAGTGTCTGAAGCCTTCTTCTAGAAGCAAAACTTAGGTTTCTAATAGAGTCCTTGGTGGTAGCCTCAAAACTCTATGTGCAGATGTGTGTATGTATGCATATATGATAAGTATACATACATGACACATCTACAGCTTAAGACTGAGCTGTCCCCCACAGGCCATGTTTTAAGTGCTTGATCCCTAGCTTGTTGCAGAAGGGGAATGCTTCTAAAAGTTATAGCCGTCTTAATTCCAGCCTTTGTGCCCCTGGTCCACAACTATGTGAACTGTCTTTGTGCTCCTGCAAGCCATAGGCTGTTCACCATAATGGAACTGTGGAAAAAACAAACAGTCAACCTTTCTTCCCTGCAGCAGTTTCTGTTGGGTGTTTTGTCACAACAACTAGCAAAGTGACGGATACAGCAGCTGGGCAGAAGTGGTTTTGGTTTGCCTCATGTTTCATTTATGGCTGGGCATTAGCACATGGTCTGAGGCACACTGGAAAGGGTGTGGTTAATGGGGAGCAAAACTTGATTTGAAATTACAGAAGCTCAAGCCTTTAAGAAGCTCTTACATGGTATGTGTGCAGCTGCTGGGTCTCTTCATAATTTTACTTCTCTGAAGATACTGTAGGATGCCAGTGGGAGGGACTTCAGGGTATGGCGGTGCCCCTGTCAATACGGAAAACATGAGAGCAGCAAGAGGCCTTCTAAACATGAAGTGACAATAACACCAATCTCCACTGACCTGAGACAACAGCCCTTAAAACATAACCATGGGGACATACTGTATATAGTACAGTTGCTCCTGCTGACTGTGTAAGGAGGCAGTAGATTGCAGAAGAGGTGTTTTGGAAAAGAAAGGTAATGTTCGGAAATTCTGAGTTTTAAGGAAGATAAATAAATCAGGGCAAATAAGAGCTGCCTTCCACTCCTCAGGACACAGAAGGAGCCACAGTTTCCCAATTGAATGGATTAATGAACTTGAAAATTTTTATGTTTATATGAGATTGCTATTGGAACCATCCTCTGGGTTTGAAAACATCCTATAGAGTTGGTATGGTTTTTTTTTTTGGGGGGGGGGGGGGAAATGGAGAGCTAAAGAAAGTCTAGGAATATCTAGGAGAGGGAAAGAGAAGAAAGGGGGTGATCATTTTAGTGGACTTCAGAGGAATGAGGCTAGAATGCATGTCAGCCCAGTGCAAACTTCCATCCTGGAAACACTTGCTCAGGGGCTACATCATCCACCTTCCAAATAAGCAAGCTTTATTCTTTGCCAGGAGGTCATACTTACCTAGAGTCACCATCTCATAAAGCAGGATCCCAAAGGACCAACTGTAAGAGAAACAAAGCCGCCCTCTTAATTTCTACCTTTATCTTTTCTAAAGAGAGTTCACTCTAACATCAGAAAGAGATGAAAGACTCGGGGAGGGCTGAGTTGCTTAACAGAGTTATTAGAGAACATTCCTGTCCATGGCCTTCAGATTCTAATCCCTTTAAGGGCTGTGTCTATGCCCCCTCTTCATAATACATGTTCGCTACTGTTATTAGCATATGTGTGAGTGTGCAGAGGCAGGCAGATTTCTGTGATCTCAAAGTCAGCCAGTTCCAGGATAGCCAGGGCTATGTAATCATTAGAGCTGCTTTTCAGACAAGAAATGTGTATATATATATATATATATATATATATATATATATATATATATATGTACATATATATGTATTTATATATATATATATGGGCATGGTGGCATACAAGGGTAACCTCTGCATTTGGAAAGTGAAGGCAAAAGGATCATGGCTTATGGGCTGTATTTGCATGGTCAAGACCCATCACAAAATGTAGATTTTCCTCCTTCAAAAATCTGATAAATAAATATTCATGCAAAAGTTTTCAGGTCAAGTGATTAGGGAGTGAAAAGAGCTGTAAGTGTTGTTTTTATTTCCTCGTGAGGGTATGAGATCAGAGCCATTCCCAAGCCTTTCTAGCTCTTTCTGAACTCTTGCTGGCTGGTTCAACTCAGCTGTTCTGACACAAACGCTTCTCCAAGCTGACTGATCCCAACTGGCTTCTTTTGCCTTCTGTATGAATTGCTCTACCTGGCCTCAAAGTAATTCTGGCAATATGTTTTAATCTTCTGGCTCCTTCTCATTTTCTGGCTCATTCTGTCTTCACCTGTTTCTAGCTTGTTCTCTCTGCAACCTGTCTTGGTAAAATTGTCCCAGTTTTAAAAAAAACAAAACAAAACAAAAAAAAAAAAAACTTCCCTCTCTCTCCCCATATAGCTCTTATACTTTCTTTTCTGTCTTCTCATGAGAGTTGGGTTTATCCTGTCTCTGACTCATTCTGTCTAATCCTTCTCTGATTCATCACTTTGTCTACCCCTCAATTACATGTCACCTTCAAACATGGCTGCTTTCTTCTATAAACTAACCTCACCTTCATTGTTTGGGATTAAAGACGGGTACTAAGGGCGTGTGTATATTCCAGCCAGATCATACTGTAATCCAGAGTTTGTCTGAATTACAGCAGATCATTCAGGCTAAGGTCTTTGGATGAGATTCCTTGCCAGAGCAGCCATATTGCTGGGTTCCTCTACAGATAGCACAGTGGTTAAGAGCACTTGCTGTTCCCGAAGAGGACCTGGGTTCATTGCTAGCACATAAATGATGGCTCACAGCTTCCTATAACTCCAGTCATGGGGATCTGGAACTCCCCTCTGCCTACCAAGAGCTCATGTACATACTTGGTGCACATAAACTAATGCAGGAACAAGCACATAAATAAGTCAATATTTTTAAAATTATTGACTAGAAACATGCATGAACATTTCATTTAAAGTTCTTCATTTCCTGGCTCGTTAGTGGAACCATGCCCTAAAATTTAAAGCAAGGCTAAAAGCTAGTCCTCCAATATTGATTTGAATAATATTTTCACTTTTTTTTTTCCTTTCTAATGAAAGTTGCTAATCGAATTCACATGAACTACTGGTGGAAGCATTTAAAAAGAGATTAGAGGCAGATGGCAAGCTTTTTTTTTTTTTCTTTGCTTGAGATTATGTCTGACTTTAAGTAGAGATCTCATTTGCAGACATAACTGGCTACAAGCGCAGTAATATTCAGGAGGAAACACCAGGCCACAAAGAGAAGAAGTGAAAGAGCAGGCACAACATACATATCTCCTCTGATGCTTGCAGGTCTCAGGAGGAGCCTTTCCGGAGCGAGCCACTTGAGGGGGATAGTGCTGGCGCGAGCGGTGGAGATGGCCCCATGAGCGTGGACTTCATAAGCCAGGCCCAGTCGGCAGAGTTTGGCAGTCAGGTCACTTTGGATCAAGATGTTTCTGGCGGCTACATCCCCATGAAACAGATGTTTCTCCTGCAGGAATTCCTATCAGCATAAGATCAAAAGTAATCAGCCTTCTGAAGGTCAAAGTTCAGAGATAAGACAGTCCTAGGTGGCCTTTAAAAGACAAGGGTGTTCTCTCCAAGCACTCTTGTTAACTAATGAGATCATTTCCAAAGCAGGGTAAGAGACTGGAGCTTTTCACCATATGTTTAGGGTTGGCAAACTCAGTGAATAAACCAAATGTTACTAACACAAGAATTTCACTCTAATGCTTAGGATGGATCCTGGTTCTTCCTGAAGGCTAGGTCAGCACTCTGCTCTGTGCTATATGCCCAGCCCTAACGCTGGACTCTGAGAGCAAAATCACACACTCTGTGTCAACTTTAGTCCCTCTTGATTGTACTTTCCCTTCCGATGGTACTCAGGACGATTCTGGAATGGATACCAGGACGCACTGTAAAGCTGAAAGCCATGTCATAAATTTATATGGATGTTCACATCATCTCAATCTGTTCTTATAACTAGATGAGGTTAAGCAAGTATCTTTAAGGCAAATCCAGGGGAACAGAGAAGACCTCACATGCATTACTCATCGGGTGGTTATGACCACAGCAGGTCTCTTAACTCAGAAAGTGGTACAGGCCCTACCAATCCACTAATAGTCCTTAAGCCAGGCTCCAAATTCTCTGAAAGCTTATACAAATAAACTTTAAGGCCTTTAGCCCTGATTTACTAACCCACCATCTAGGGAGAGAAAGGTTGTGATTGTATTATAAAGCATGAAAGGATTCTGGTTAGAGGAGGCAGGTGAGAATCAAGGTGGCTGTTGGTGCCTGCTGGGTCACCTCCTCTGTCGTGAAGACACTCAAGCTGTGTGGAAAACGGGGAAACCTGTGCATGATGGAAGAGCCAGAGATCTGGGGCTCTGGTTACCAACCACAGAACAAGGACATTTAGAGGGTTAAAGTGATAGTTTCCAGCCACCGATAAAGAAAGACACCATGACTAGAAGTTTTCTGTCTCTTGGGAAATTTAAGAACAGGGAAATTAATTATGATGAGCAGAATTAAGGAAATTATACTATAGTTAGAAGAATGTACCAAATGTAAGGTCATTAACGGTAACAACAGAAAGCGTGGCCTTGCTTTGTGGCTGCATCAGCTTGATCAGATTGCCCCTGTAGGACACCCCTGCCCTTTGATCCCAGAGGCCAGATCGGCTGAAGCTCACAGCTGACCAACACTAGGACCACACCCTCCAGGAAGCACAGATAACCGCTGTGAGGCCTTCTCTCCCCATCCCATGGGAGCTTCAACCAGAACTGCTTCTCTTTTCTCCCATCACTTCCTTTCGATTCTTGTTGTTGGTTTGTTTTGTTTTGTTTTGTTTTTCCTCTACTTCCGATAGGCCAGGCATGCAGCTCCTGCCTAGCAAGAGTTCAGTTGCCAGTACCATTATCACACACAGAAAGAGTCCCTTTAGGCCCTGATACATTTCACATATTGTGGTACCAAAATACAGTAAAGCTGAAAACCATAGCTTCACAGACCCTTGATTTCTCTATAGAGATAATTCACTTGAAATATGTCCAGATAATTTCACAGGCATAGTGATATAAACTTCCTGAGTGGTTCTGGTAGAGGTAAATCTTTTATTCTGAAATCTCTTCTCCTTGTTATTTTTCAAAGTTTATATAATATACATATATTACATCACATCTATTATCAAAGCAAGTCTCCCACCAAACACAATCTAGTTTGTCTTGTTCTTCAGGTATGAATCTGCATACTTCATCTTTCACCTGCTTACTTTCTCCCTTCATATCTCCTCCATCTTGTCCCCCCTTTCACATGTACACAGTCCTCCTACTTCATTGTATCAATCCTAAACTGTCTTCTACCTGGAATGCCTGATGCTCCACTGTATTACCTAAATGATTTCATAAATAAGGGATTGAAAAACAAACTGTGAGTGAATAATCTTCCTCTAACTGTCTGTCTTTAAAATATATCCCCCATTTAGAACTGTCAACGCAGCATAAAATACTAGGCTGATAGGAAAATCCTGCCATCAGTTTCCATGTATGCTTGTCTTACCAGGGCCAAAAGGACCTGCTTTCCAATGTGGTATATCTGTTTTTCTGTGAGATCATACAGCAGGCCATCCATGGTCATCACATCCTAGAGAGGAAAGGAAATGCGTAAAAGTGACTTGAGCATATTTTATTTTTTAAAATTCTGAAATGCTGATATCAAAACTAAGAACAACATAATAATACAGGGATTAAGAGTCAATAAGACAGGAGCTGGAGCCATGGCTCAGTGGGTGAGGGAGCTTGTCACCAAGACTGATGACCCGAGTTCCCTCCCAGCATCCACATGGTGGAGGCAAAGAACTCCCAACAAGTTGTCCTCTGACTTCCATGTGTCTCTCTTACCCACCTCTCCCTTCTTTTCACACAGACACAAACACACACACACTTAAATGAAATAAAAAAAGATATATTTATGTCTCTTTTATGTGTGTGAATATTTGCCTGCACGTATGTATGTGCACCTCATGCATTTCTTGGAGGACAGAAAATCGTATTTTGGCGGGGGGGGGGGGGGGCTAGAGTTAAAGATCATTATGAGCCTTCATGTAGGTGCTGGGAACTGAACCCTGGTCCTCTGTAAGAACAGGAGACACTCTCAGTTGCTGAGTCATTTTTCTATACCCTGAAGCATATTTAAGTGAGAGACAAATACTCGATATGTTTAGAGGGATGTGGTTCCCTGAACTGCAAAAATGCAAAGAAAGCTGGTGAACAGGAGGCAAGAATAAGAAGCAGGGATGACACTCTCCAGTGAATCACGCAGCAGTTTCTCTGGGGCTGTGTGTGCAGATAGGCACATGTTAATGCAGCCATACAGAAAGCTTCCATGGGCCAATCTCCCTGTTAAAAACTTGGAATTCAAAAGTCAAGAAAATATATATTTATTTTAACAAGTTCAAATCACAAAAAAAAAAAAGAAAGAAAGAAACGGAGAAAATGCACTATTTGCAGCTTCTCATCTGTGCTGGATAGGCGTTGCCTTCGAGATTTAACTGAATGCCAGATGTGTGAACTAGAATCAGGAGATTGCAAGTAAATAAATGGCTACAGATGGTAAGTGCCACAGGGGAAATGTGCAGCAGCTATCAGAGCACGTGACATCAAAAGGAAGAAGAAAGCCCCCTCAACGAAAGAGGGCGATGGGAACACGAAGGATATGTGAGCATCAGGTGCATGAAACTTTTCACGTGTGAGAAGAGCCGACGGAAATGCTCTGAAACAGAAAAGATGGACGCTCTGAAGAATGCAAAGTTGCTTCTTGATGAGAGCACAGAACTGGGGGCAGATGAGCAATCTCTTGAAAGGTTCTGAACTCATTCACATCACAGGGTGAAAGACTTCAGTCAATAGGCACCTTTTCACACACACACACACACACACACACACACACACTCCCCGTTGTGTGAAGATTGTCCTCTGTGAGAGTTCAGGTAATCGCGAGCTGGCTCACAAGCTCACAAGGGACACTGGTGTCTTCAGCTCTTCAGGGAGGAACATTTAGAGAACTAAGAATAGCATTATTATTAATTTTGGTTTTTAACAGGTTGTTACTTTTGAGATTCTGAAACAATTACATCATTTGGCCATTCTCTTACCTCTCTCTAAACCTTCTTATTTTTACCTCAGAGCCTCCTTTTCTTTCATTGTTGTTATATATGTGTGTATACATATATATGTATGTACGTACACACATACAACTCACTCATTCTGTATGTTACTGAATGTGTATGTTTTCAGGGCTGACCATTTGGCACTCTGTAACCATTGATATGTTCTTCCCTTATTATTCTATTTTAAAAGGAAATCCATTAGAATATAAAAAAAATGCTCATAAGTTTCTGAAGATTTTGACACACAAACTCTTACAGCCGACTATCAGCTATGGCACACTAGGATGCTCTTACAGAATGGAAAATACACTTAGTAGAACAACAGAATAATCATTCTTACTGGGAGTAGTATATCCTTATGTCATTATCGTTTTTAACAGCTACCATCTTGATTGCTTATTAAGTACCAAATACTGTTATTTTTTTTACATACATAATGTTTCGGACAGTTTATGATAATTTATAAAATTTATAAAACTAGGGATCAAAATTAATTTTCCAAGCCAGGCATGAATGCACATGCTTTTAGTCCTGGCATTTGGGAGGCAGAGACAGGCAGTTTAATGCCAGTCTGGTCTACAAAGCAAGTTCCAGGTCAGCCAAGGCTACATAGAGAAACCCTGTCTTAAATAATGGCAAAACCAAAACAAAAAAAAAAAAAACCAAACTTGCTAAAGTCACAAAGTCAGGTGGCAGGCACAAGAACCAGTCTTTAGACGTACATACACTGCCTAACAAGACAGTGACCAGCCACATGTGTCTATTTCAACTCACAGTGTGTAAGTTTGCACAAAATAAAATGTTCACTTTCTGGTTTTCCTGCCGTATGTCAGGTATTTAATAGTCACGCATGACTTGTGGCTAATTGTGACCAGACAGATAGTCTGGGTCTCATGTAGCTGAGGTTGTGTAGTTGGGAATGACCTTGAACTCAAGATCTTCCCCTGTGCTGGAATTATAGGTACATGCCACCACACACAGTGTTACCCTGATCAAACCCAGGGCTCACGCTAGACAAGCATTCTACCAACTGAGCCACACCCCCAGCCCCCAGCCATGCGATAATTGTTTCACATTTACATTGTGGTAGATTAATTCAAAAGTGATAATCATTTCACCCTTGTACTGTCTGCATATTTTGTCGTGTGTGGTGTTAACCGACCCGTGAAGAGGGAATCAAAGCGTTCCCCTGCGAGTGCAGGTTCTCCGCTGCTCACCCTGCGGCAGGTCCAGAGAAAGCTGAGCAGGTCTCCTGGGACGACATCCTCCAGCACCATGAGGAGGGGCAGCCTTTCCGTGCAACAGCCTTCCAGCTGGACCAGGTTCCTGTGTTTCCCCAGGTACTGATAGAACTGGATTCGCCCTACGAAGTCCTGGACCTCCTGGAGTCCAGTTGGGTCTATGAAAAACAGAAGGGTAGGGTCAGGGAACAGTCAAGTAGAACTGCTGAGTAGGAGGCAAGGAGCAAAAGACATGTACAAGTGGTGACATTCGAGGCCCCTCATGGAAGAGGTACCAACAGTGCAAAAGCGCAGTCAGAAAGGGAGCAGAAGAGGGACCGTCTAGAAGAGAGTGATGCTTAGTCATTGATCCTTCAACAGAAATGACAGAGAGTCACGGTTCTTACAACAGGACAGGTTTTTACCTCTCTGAATAGACAGTGTGCTGTTCATATTACAACCACACTGCTTTCGATGGACATTCTTGCTTATGTTTAGCTCTTCCTTCTTTTATGTTCTGTGTATCCAGTGCAAGTTGTGTAGAGAGAGAGAGAAAGAGAAAGGGAAGGAAAGGAAAGAGACGTGGTGTCAAGAAAGGGCTTAAGGGCCAGAAAGATGGTGAAAGCAGGTCACCAGTGACATGGAAGCCTGATGACTTTCAGTCATCATGGAAGGAGAGGACCAACATCTCAGAGTTAACCTCTGACCTCATAGTTGTGGAGCAGGCACCTGTACATGCACACACACATACAAAATAATTAATTTATAATTAATATCGAAAAGGTATCAAACAGTAAAGAACAATGAAGAAACAATGTCGTAATTCTAGGCCCAGTAGCATCTACTATCTCTATAGTAGATAGAGTAGATCTACAGTAGATTACTCTACGGGCTTCAGTAGGCAAGGGTGAACTAGAGATCTAAAGACTCCGGAGGACTAACTTTGCACCAGCACAACTGTAAGTATATGTTCTGATATGCATCTTAATGTTTGCAGTTCCAGTTAACATTTACAGGAATGGGCTCACAGCAGGGAAGCAAAAAGGGAAGGAAAGTTGGTCCTCTTACTTCACCTTCTAAAGCCTTGAGGACAACACTCCTTGGCTTAGCATGATCTCCAGTGGTCATCCTGGTACGATAGAGGGTCCCACACCTGCCATTGTAGATCTGCTCGAGATCCACGTCTGACAGTTGTTCCCTGGGCACCTGCAGCTTAGCCAGGGGAGGCGCGACCGCTCGTAGAAAGCTCTCCACTGAGGTCTCCTTAAGTGGCACCAGCACCTTTTCTCCTTGCTCTGTTGCCTCCTGGCTTGGGCCCCTGGATGCAGGTACAGAGGCAGTGCCTAGAACAAAGAGATAATGTCCACCAGCTGTCCCCTGCCCTGGGGACACCAGAAAAGCAGACAGAACCAACTGGCCAGGAAAATTTCTCTATTACTAACACAAGGACAACTTCTGATGCTTCTCAATGAATGAATACCAACACTGAGCTTTCACAATAGTCAAATAATTTCATTACTTGTAGAAAAACTAAAGACGAAACCTCTGAAAGTGGTCAGATTTCTTTTTTTATGTTCTTCTTTACCATCCTTGGGATTACTGTCAGTGTTCCCCATGAGTGTAGCACAGAGACTAGACAGTTCTGAAAAAAAAATCCACACTGCAGGTACCAAAAGGTGGTGGTCACTGGCAGCAGACCTAGCCTTTAAGTCAGTCATATGCCTTCAATTCTGGAAGGTATAGGACTCTTTCTTCAGTTTGCCCTCAAAAGTGAACTCTTTCTTTATTTCCATGAATCTTAGTCAAAAGATCTTCTGAGACAGTCTCTCATCCTTGGCTACCTTTCCTCTTGGCTAAGAAAGTTTCCTTCTTAGATTTCCAATCATTTGTTAATCATTCAACCTGTTCAGTAAGTATCACCGTACACTATGCACTGTCCGAGTTGAGGCTAGGCACACTTCAGAGCTGCCTAAGATTAGTTTCCAATCCTAAGACATATAGCATTAGGAACGGATGAGGCAGTGTGCTGGGGGGAGGGGGGGGAATAACAAAAGAGGTACTATTTTATCTATAGATGTCAAAAAATGCCTTTCAGATATGATAACGTTTAATAAAGGCCTAGAAGCAATTACAGAACAAACCATGATGACCCTGTAGCAGATGGAACAAGGTACCAAGAGGAAGGTACAGGTAGGATGTTTAAGAAGCAGCAAGGAAGGCAGTGCAGATGGAGTCAAGCAGGATGGAGGACAAATGTGGGAAGCAGAGCCAGAGATGCCATATCGTACAAGGCCATGGGAAGGACCTTGTTATCTTCTGTTCTATGGAACACAAGAACCCATTGGAGGGTTTTAAGCCATGTGAACTTAGAGACCAATCAAGACCTTTGTGAATCATTCTGAGTTGCCAAGGGGAACTAGATCACTATAGAGGGAGGGTACATTATAAAGAAAGCCACTGGGAATGAAAGATGTTGAATGGCTTGGCTTTATAATTTGTAAGATCTTACTATAAGTTGGCTTACTATTTTGTTTAAATTGATCTTCCCTGAACCTATGCCTAGCCCTAGAGTTTGAGCCTTACCTCGGTGTCCAGGGCGCTGCCTCTGGGATCTCTGTCCTCTGATAAAAAGCCACAGGATGATTGCAAGAAAAATAAGGAAGCCACCAACCAGTAGAGCTGGAACAATGATTATTTCATACTGCTGTGCCTGGACAACTGTGTAGGCCACAAACAGGAAAAGAAGTAAGAAGCCTAGCACAGTTTCCCTACCCACCATGCCTCAGCACTCCTGATTTCCCCTCAGTCCCTTCAACAGAGGGCCAGAGATGGCAACTTCAACTGGATACTAACCCTGTGTTTTAGACCATTGAAGATAATTTTTTTTCTATCTTGACCTCTGATTGGCATATATCCCTTATCCCATAAAAATGATGCTCGGGGGGCCCCTATTCATTTTCATCACCACCTTTATTTCCACTAGAAATGAAACCAGCACCCCCTCAGCCCACCCCCTACCTAGAAACACCCAGAACCCAGTCCCCGTTGTTCTAGCGTCAGGTAACAGGCAGCTACGGTGTCTGCATTTACCACACAGCTTGTCACTGAGACTGCACTCCAACAGTGTCCGGCTCAGGTGACCCTTCTCTCCCATCGCCACAGGGCCAGCCTCCTCCGCTAGGCCCCCAGCGGATGCACGGAGCACAGCCACAGTGCGGTCGGATTCCCAAGAACTGTGTTATTCTAGGAAAAAAAAAAAAAAAACATGTAGAAATTTAAATACACCTATGAATCTCTAGTTGCTAAGCACACAGTGTCCTTTCTGAGCCACCCACTTTGCTCACCTGTCTGGAATTCAGGCTGAGGGAACAGTCATTCTTTTCCTGTGGCATCCTACCTTCTCTCTTATACAGCTTTTCAGCCTTGATCCCTTCATTTCATTGTTACTAAAATTATTTTAAAGGCACCCTCGACTTCCGGAACCAGGCAGAAGTAGTGACCCAAAGCTTTATCCTGACCACTGACCACTGCTAGAGTCCTGAAGCATGTTAAATTCCTTTCAGCTGCATGTCATATTTTTCGATGCATAACATTTCGTTCTACCTTTATTCAGGCAATGAGTAAATATTTAGCAAATGTCTAGAGAGATGATTCCTGCTTTTGCCTGGCTATTCTGAGACACCCACACCCTCAGAAGAAATGAGTAGACATCATTTATCAATAAAAGCTACTTAATCTCTCAGCTCTCAAAGCTTGTCTAGACCTTCTCTACACCCAGCAGACGTACTCAAACAAACTCACATTCTAAACCAGGTCATAGAAAGTGTCCCTATACAAAGAGCCACTTTTTATTTTTCTAATTCCTTTAAATAGAAAGGAAATACATCTCTATGTAAACATGTTTCAAACGCAGGGCGGGGGAGGTGACTCATTCTGTAAAGTGCTTAGCTGTCACTGCCTGAGGACCCAACTCTGGATCCCTGGCACTCAGTTTGCATCTCTCTGGAATCCCAGCACTCCTAGGTAAGAGGCAGAGAAAGGAGAGCCTCGAAAGCCTGCAGGCCTGCTAACCTGTGCACCCTGCAGGAAAAACAACAAACAGAGCCTGGAACAAAAGGCCTGACCCCGAGAATGTCCTCCACAGCAATGCGGTGGCATGCAGGCACTCACACACAAAGACAAAATCATACCGTAAAATGTTACATAGCATAAAAATGCTTCCCACTCCAGTTACCATTTTTTTTTTCCAAATAGATTAGTTACTGGTTTCCTGTTGGAGGTTCTTTTTATTAATAATATAGTTTGTTCTATGAAAGTTTCATACAAGTATATAATGAATTCTGGTTCTCTCCCATAACACACACACACACACACACACACACACGCATGCACACTTATTTCCCTCCTGCCCCTGCCAGCACCCTATCTTCCTTATAAAACACTTTCCTTTGTTTATTAGTTTATTGGGTTTTTTGCTTGTTGGTTTTGGTTTTCAGTGCCCCACGTGGTTTAACTAGGGCCACCTGTGTGATGCTGAATCACCAGCGGGTCTGCAACTATGTGCTTCACCTCCCGCTCTGCTAAAAATCTGTTAGTTGATAACAGATCAGCAGTAAGTGCCTAGTGCGGCTGCTCGTAGGCACAGCTGCTGTGACTGAGCAGGCTCTTTCCCTAACCACCCCAACAACTCCGGAAAAGCCACACACCTTCTAAGTGACACCTTCAGACCTGCTTCTTTCTGAACGGTTCCCACTCTTCCACATGTCTAGCAGCTTACCCTGTGCCCTTGCTTAGAGATGTGGTGGCCCCAGGGTCCTGCATCCTACCCCTTTAATTCTGACTGCTCTGAAACCAAACATGGTGATTTAACCAGCCTAGGCCTCCTATCGTTACACAGTGAGTTTTAGCATTTTTGCTAATGATCAAAGTGTTAATTATTGAAGCAAGGACTCTCTGCCCTCCCCCCACACACACACACAAAACAAAACAAACATAAGAAATCTCCTAGCTCCTGTCTCACATCTCCTCACTTTTCCCTGCCCCAGGAGCAGGTACTGTGGATCACGATTAAGTAACTCAGAAGGGAGACAGGTGTGCGGCCAGCTAACCAGAGGCGGGCAGATGGTGAAAAATTACATGCAAGAGAGGGAAACTGAGCAGGCAATCCCAGTGTTCAGGAGGCTCTCTTTGAGTCTGAGGCCACCCTTTTCCAGTTAGTGAGTTACAGGCAGTCAGGACTACAAAGAGAGACTGTGGTGGGACGGCAGGTAGGGGGGAATATTTTTTTTGTTGTGAGTTTGCAATTTATGAAGCCAGTGAACAATTAGACAGCAAAGAGAAAAGCAATTCAAAAAACTTCCACCCTTCCAAGACCTCAGGACAGGAAAGGTCCTGGTGACCTTAGGAGAAACTGCACCCAGCAGGTGGAGTGAAGGAGAAGGCCCTGAAACTAACCCTGAGCTCAGCTGGGTGCTCTGAGCCTGTATGAAACTGTCTCAAGGCCTAGGCGTTCTTGTTTTCATTTCCTCTTGCTTCCTTTTCAGGGCCTTATCAGATGTAAGTAATTACTTTTGTTCAGGGAGCAGCCTGTTGAACGAGTTTGGCTCTCTGGTGAGTAGGTGCTAGGAATACAATCTTGCTACACTGTACAAGTGGGGGGGAAAAAAAAAGTCGGTTGGCAGCCAGCTCAGACTGAGCTCTGCCCAGAAACCAAACTGCACGCCCACTAACACATACTGAAAGAAGTAACCTGAAGACTTTGTGCGCAGACCCCACACTGAGCTGGCCATGGACAAACACACCTTCCGTCAGTGACCCAAGCCCACCCTTCTTTCCCCATGCCAGAATATACAGAACCTTACGACACCATATCGCCTTCATGTCTATTTCCTAAGCCAGGTTCTCAGCATGGCTTCTTATCTCTAATAGTTTAAGGAAACTAGGATTGTTAATACCCAGTCAGCCAATGAACCTAAATGCTGGAGTGAAAAAGCAATGACTTTGTCTATTGGTCTGTATCAATCTGGGAAAAGGTATGCTTTAGTGCCCAAATCTCTGGGATGGTTCTTTTCCACAGTTAAAATCTGCCTTATCTAAAAGAATACTATAGCTAACATTTATACTTATAAACATGATAAATATATTAAATTAATTCATTATACTAATATATCTTGGTATACTATTCTTAAGTGTTGAAGTCCTGAGCCCCATAGCCCATAACCACTAACAACTCCTTAGATCCCATGTAGCATCTATCTACAGGGGGAGGTAGGTCACTTGGGTGCCTGAGAAGAACATTAATGGATTAATAATATAATTGAAATTATAAATATATTAAAACCATATTTATAACCACACTATATTATTAGTTACACAAATTTCCTGTCTTGCAAAAAAAAATGTAGCATGGCTACAGCCTCTCTTATATTGTCTGCAAAACTGTTAAGAATGTGAAACATTAGCCCAAAGTTAGTGCCATGAATAACAAAATGCATGCATTGGGATCATGGGGCTCTAACAGCTGTGAAGTTCTTTATTATGATCCCATTTGACAGTTGCAAAATACGTTTGTATATCGCTTGCCTACAGTTTGCATGTATCTGTACCTGCCGAATCTCCAGGCAGGGTTCTACCTGAAACAACTGTACTGCCTCACCAGCGGGTTGTTATTCCTCAATCTCTCTCCTCTCAGCTCCTTCAGTATCTTGATTTTCCTATAAAAGGTTTAATTTCCCCAATGTGTTGAGAATCCATCGCACAGTGACCAAGAAGACACAGGAGGGGAATGAGAATGAAAGGTGAGTGGAGGCCAAAATTAGTTGCAAGACAACATTCCTGAGGCTACGGAAGCTAGTGATAATTAGAATTTAACTAAATATCAACACTAACTCTCAAACTGCTACACGAATTCACCACACAATCACAAACCACAGGGCGTTTTCTGCACCTGTTTCAATGCATCAGTGGTATTGCAACAGTAACACAACCCTTGCTCCTGACTTGTCCCAGACGCAAACGCCAATCCTCCCACAAGTTTCCAGAAGAAACTTTTCCCACCAAAGCACAGTCAAGTATAGGACTTTGAAAATCAAACCTATCCAGGTGGAACAAAGCCCCTGTGTGTGTGCTGTCGAAACTTCCCTGGAATGCTATCTGATCCTGTTCCACTGAGACACGAGTCTGTCTGTCTGTAGTTTTGTTCCCAAGCTGAGCATCTGTATAACAGACCTTGCGGATCTACCAGCAAAATGGTTTTCAGAGATCCAAGTGGCACACCTCTTCAGTAAAATAAGGGGTCAAAAAGTTATTAGTGGTTATGGGCTATGGGGCAGAAGACTTGATTCCTTTAAGTGAGAGGAAAAAAATATGGAAGAGGGAGTCCAGGCTGCAAGCGTCTATTTTACTTTCTGAATCACTAACTACCCTTCTCTCTTTTCTCCTCCCAAACTATCCAAAAAGAAAGCTCACTTAACTGAACTGCCATGGGCTACATCTGTGCAGGGGTGCCTTATCAGGCCACAGAAGATGACAATGCAGCCACTTCTGATGAGAACTGATAGACTAAGATCAGAAAGAAGGAGAGGAAGACCTCCCCTATCAGTGGACTTGGGGAGGGAGGGAGGGATAGGGAGGGGAGGAGGGAGAGGCTTATGGGGGATACAAAATGAATAAAGTGTAATTAATAAAAGTTAAATAAAAAATTTTTAAAAAAGCAAGCTCACTTGCTAGAGTGAATACACTCAGGTAGCAGTAAAAGTGAGAACTGATCAGATCCAGAAGAATTCAGTATAACATATGTCCAACATCCTAAACAACAAGCTTTCCTTCCTGATTTCAGATCTTGTGTACCAATCAAATATAACATGCATGGTAGTCTCTTCCATGCCAAAGAGGATAGACAGAGACTGAGACATAGCTTACCAGTGATGGATTCTTTAATTAGCCTCATGAATAAATGGCAAAGCAAGGTTTCATATCTAGGCCCAGATCTCTAATTTATAAACCCAATGGTCTTTAAACTACTGCATATATGTGTGTCTGTATAGCGTGTATGTGTGTCTGTTTATGTGTGCATGTATGTGTGTGCACACACATACACACACACGTAAATACCATTCTCTTGAACAAAGCAGACAGTGACGAGAAGGAATTAGATCAGAATACAAAAATATCATGGAAACCACAAGGCTAAAATAAAATTTTGCTGACAAATACTCCCTTATTTGGAAGAAACTTTTAAATGT